GCGGGAGGCTGCTGCTGTCGGCTTCGCGCGCGGCACCACATTTGAGGCTGACGATTTCAAGAAAATTTCCACATACTATAACATTTCTGCGACTGAAACTTTGAACATATGGTAAGTATGCAAGCTTTTCATAATTATACGCGAAATTTTATTAATTGATATATTAGGTTAGAAATAATGTAGATTTCTAATGGAAAACGAAATAAACAACTCTAATTTTTGAATTTTGATATTAGTATAATTTAGTGTAAGTTACCATATAAAAGAGTCCCCTCCCCTTCCTACAGTAGTAGTTTAAAGACTGATGGTAAAGAATGCGTCCTCTCCTCTTCTTATTGGAGTCACTTTAAGGCTGATGGTAATGATTGAGCTCCCACCCTTTCCTGTGGGAATAGCTTAAAGACGGTATTGAATAAGTCCCCTCCCCTTCCAATGAGACTACTTAAAGACGGCGTTGATTGAATCTCCCCCTTGCTATAGCAGTACCTTAAAACGGTGATGTCTGGGTCTCCTCCCCTTCCTGATTTAACAGCTTTCCTGGTGGTGGTTTGAAAATCAATAATTTGTGATGGCAGGGGAGACATGTGCTCGCAGGCGAGGAGACGCATCCTCCAAGAGGCTGAGGGCAAGGAGGGCATCCGAGATGTCGACAGCGAGCTAACTGATCTTCTATTATTGTATGACCAAACTTTCAGCATCGTTACCCTGGTGAGCATTAGTAGGGTAATTGAAAGCAATGTGTGTAAGGCCCTGTCCCACCACTAGCTGATAGAGGCTCAGATAGCTTGAATGACGTCACTGTCAGATAAGGTAACAAAATCCGATGTTTCCATCACGAATTTTACTTGGTCGATTGTTATCAGACAATTTATAATTTGGTGGGACCGGCCCTCAGTGTAAATGGAAGTTCTTACTTTATCTTATACCTTACTATGATACTATGTTAATGCTTAAAAACTTGTAAATACTAGCTCTAGACAGCGACTCTGCGCGGATTTAAAAAATGTATTTGTAACAAATCTATCAGTTGTTGAGATATCTGCTCTGGATTCTTTCATATTATATCTAACTGTTGCCCGCGACTCCGTCCGCGTGGAATTAAAAAAAAACAAAAGTGAGTAGCCTATGTGTTCTTCCAGACTATCTTCTATATTTGTACCAAATTCAACCGAAATCCGTTCAGCCGTTTAGGCTACAAACTCTAACAAACATCCATCTATACTTTCGCATTTATAATATTTGTTATATATTACTAGTTTTTTCGCGACTCCGCTTGAAATTAAAAAATAACCTGTGTTCTAGTCCTTTACGTTAGCCAAATTTCATCGAAATCGTTTCAGCAGTTTAGGCTACAAGCTAACATTTAACAAGACTTTCGCGTTTATAATTATTTTATTGTTCAGGAAAGTCTGTCACATCAAAAACAATTGCAAAATTTGACGCATTTGTGTCAAATTGTACTGATCAAGGGTGTGGAAAATGTACTCAGAAGTGACCGTCCTCGACTACAGGAAGTTTGGATACAAACATTAACAACTTATCTTATGTCTTATCCCTTCAGGTAATAATTTATCTATCTATCCTAATATAACTAGCTGTTGCCGCGACTTCGACCGCGTGGTATTAGAAAACATACGAACTATATAAATAACAAAAAGCTACGTATCCCGGGAACCTTATCCCATGTGTATTCCAGACTTTGTTTTAAATCTGTGCCAAATTTCAATAAGATATGTTGAACCGTTGCAGAATGATCGAGCTGTTGCTCGCGACTTCGTCCGCGTGAAATTTAAAAATAATAAAAAATATAGCATATGTTACTCACCCATAAATTACCTTACTAATGGTGAAAGAATTTTTAAAATCAGTCCAGTAGTTTTTGAGTTATATCAATACATACAAAAATACAAATCTTTCCTCTTTATAATATTAGTATAGATATATTTATATGATTGAACACACTTTGTTATGTATGGTGTCAGCAATCAGCACATTTTTTTATAAAGACCTTAATACTTATACGATATAGGCTATATAATTCCACGCTTATAAACTTATTTATTTATTTATTTATTTATTTATTTATTTATTTATTTATTTATTTATTTATTTATTTATTTATTTATTTATGGGAAAGGTACACCAATTGCATGTTCAAGGTTCACAACCAAATTAATATACCGTAACAATGAAAAACAAAGAAGCAGAAGAACATACAGATGACAGGCG